CTTCTGCCGGCGCGGCCTCCCCCCCCTCCTGGCTGCACCCCCCTCACCCCCCTCCCCTCGGTCTCTTCCCTCCAAGCACAAGCATGAACCAGCGCGTCCAGCCCCACCTGTGTGTTGAGCTCCTCGGCTAGCCGCGCGATCTCCTCAATGGCGTCGTCCGTGAACTGCAGGTCAATGCCCTCAGCACCCAGCAGCAGCTGGAGGGGCCCGGCGGTGGCAAGGGCAAGGGCAGGATGGCAGCGGGAGGGGAGGCGGCTGAGGGGCGGGGTCTTCGGCACGCAGGGAGGTGAATTGCTGAAGGGCTGCGGGGCTGTGCGGTCCCTAGAGGTCTCTGGCCTCTGAGAGACCCGACTCGCCCCTTCCCCCTCGCACACAAACACACACACACACACACACACACACACACACACACACACACACACATGGACACAGAGACACACACACACACATGGACACAGACACACACACACACACATAAACACGGACACACTCACACACACTCTCACACACCCCTGCTGCTGCCCCGAGTGGCTACGCTTCCATAACAACCGCCCTGAGCGACCGCCCTGAGCTGCTGCCTTTTGCCACCCCCCTGAAACACACTCACCCCCCCACACACACACACACATGCCACACAGATAGAACCACAAACGCACGCACGCACACGCAACACGCAACACACACACACTCTCCCCCCACCTGCTGCTGCCTCACGAGGTTGTACTCGGGCTCCCGGAGGATGCGCACAAAGTCGGCGCGCGTCAGGCCACGCAGCTCAACTCGGATCGGCAGGCGGCCCTGCGGCGGGGGCGGCGGCGGTGCGAGGGGGGGCCGCCGCAGTAGCCGCTGAGGGGGTAGGGACATTCAGCGTGCTCGGCGGAGGGGGAGCGAGGGAGGTTCGGCGAGTTCCAAAGGCAATCAAGTCACGGCGCCCGGCGGCAGCGCCCGGCGTGGCCGGGCGCGCGGCGCGGCGGGGGCGGGCGCCAGTCCCTCCGGGAGCTCCCGCCCTGGGCGCGGGGCCTCACCTGCAGCTCTGCAAGCATGTCGCTGGGCTTTGTGCTGTGGAAGGCCCCGCTGCAGATGAAGAGGACGTGGTCGGTGGACACCTGGGGGATGAGGGGGGGATGTTCAAGGGATGGTCGGGGGTGGTTGGTGGTTGGGGTGTGGCACGTGCAAGACACCTGGGGGCAAAGGGGGGGTAGGGGGGGGGAGTGAGGTGCCGCAGGCGG